GAGTTGTGTACCACATATCCTGCCTTGTGACTGCGAGACCCACTGGTGCAGTGGAAGATGCTATTCACTCACCAGTGGTGAAGCAGCTTTTCATTACAGCAGCACTACAGTGCTGCCTTGCTTAACTATTACCTCGTTAAACAACGAAACCACTCGATTAGGTTTTTGCGATCGCTTTTTCACTACCTATCCATTCTGAAGGAAATCAACCCTGAGTGTTCACTGGAAGGACAGATCCTGAAGCGGAGGCTCCAATACTTTGACCATCTCATGAGAAGACTCCTTGGAAAAGACCTTGATGTTGGGAAAGTGTGGAGGCAAGAGGAGAAGGAGACGACAGAGGACGAGATGGTTGGACAGTGTCATTGAAGCTACTAACATGAATTTGACACAACTCCGGGAGGCAGTGGAAGATAGGAGGGCCTGGCGTGCTCTGGTCCATGGGGTCACGAAGAGTCGGACACGACTAAATGACAACGATGTGGAGCCTAGAGGAAGGGCAAGAGGTTGAGAGCCAAGATGGGCACAAGCCAATCATTTGACGATCCGTGCTGCTATGTTTAGTGGCCAAACAGGTCTTTGGTGCTCCTCAACTCTGCCTCTGCTCATGGGCGCCCACTCAGAGGCAGCGCCTGGACAAAGTGGGCCAGGGAAGCCAGGACATTGCCTCTAAGTAGGCGCCTGCCAATGGAAGTGAGGCTGGGAAGTGCTGAATGCCTGTTCAGAACAAATCAGCACAAACTGCTGAATCTGTGTTTCTAGCCCATCTCTAGTTGAGAGTTGTGTACCACATATCCTGCCTTGTGCCCCAGGAGCGACTGCGAGGCTCACTGGTGCAGTGGAAGATGCTATCCAGTCACCAGTGGTGAAGCAGCTTTTCATTCCAGCAGCACTATATATAGCCAGATGGCTGGCAAGCTGGATGGCTGGTCATTTTGGCACCTGGGACAAGAAGCACTTTCTCCTACCCTCCTACTGAGTCATGGGCACAAGCTCCCCATGACAAAGGAAGAAGAAAATGTAGCCTTTCCCTTTCCCATCCAAAGATAGAGAAGGCTGGAGAACCATGGGATGCAGGAACATTCACCAGTAGAGTCACCTTCAGATTTTGTTGCTCTCTAAATGTTGGTGCCCTGAAACAAACCACCAGTTGCTCCATCCTTGTGGCCCATCCTGGCATTCCACCAGCTCCTGTATGTGGCATTGGAGAGGGACATCTTGTCATCAGCTTCCAGCAGGAAAAAAAATATGTATTGATTCAGTGCTGGATGCTTGAATTTATGGATTGTCCTGAAACTGTGTGTCTCAATGAGCTCACCATAGGCAAAGGACAGCCCCATCCTGCTTGGCTGATTCCAGTCTGGAAATGGCTTGGGATTGTTTGATACCCCACAAGAAGCTGGAAGAAAATGATCTAGCAATACCACCGAAACCTCTGTTCCTTACTTAATTCACCATTCAGGTCAAGTGTAGCCTTGTTAATCCAACCGTCCCTACTGCCAATCAAGAGAAGAGAAGCGGGAACTGTCCCTTCCCTCCAAGAAGTCGTTAATGGGAGACATGCTGTATTGGGCTTGTCTAGGCCTGGCACACCAATGTAACCCAGTGGAATTGTTTCCTCCCTTTGGCATGTCATGTATTAGCACGAGCCTAGCAAAACCTAAGCTTACCTCCTGCTCTCAGGATTTGCTGCCAAAATCCAGTTATTTTGGGGACTTGGCAGCACTCCCAGCAGGCAATTTGTTTATCCTGTATTCATAGCAGAGCTTGAAAAAAATTATATTTTGGACCACAATTTCTATGATCCCCCAACTTGTGTTGCTTTTCTAAGCGCTGCCTTATGTGAATGTGTTTACTTGCTTAATTATGTGCTATCAAGTCAATTCTGATTTACAGTGACTCTTTTTCAGGGTTTTCCAGGTAATGAATACACAAGAGTAGTTTGCCATTCCCTTTTTGTGGGGGTACCCTGGAAGTGTACAACTTGCCCAAGGCCACACAGCTGTTTCTGTTCACACAAGGCACCGTGGGGAATCAAACTCCCAACATTTGGCTCCACAACCAGATACCTGAGCCACCAGATGTTTATTTACTTACTTAAGGCTATTAGACCCTTGTTGTTCCACGGCATTGAGTACAGTTCTTGACTGTGGAAGAGTGAAATATATATTTGTGTGTGTGTGTGTCTGTGTGTGTGCATGTGCGTGCGTACCCACCCATGATGCATTTGGAGGTAGACTCTATATCTGTCATTTAATGGAATTAGTTGTGTAAATATCAACCTCAAGTTTCACTCCTTTTTCACCTTTTTAGAACTTCTCAGGTCTCATGAGGCAATATCAGTTTGGCTTCTCCTCAGTCACACAGGTACCAATTTTCCCATTTTACTACTATCTGAGATGCAAACAGATGATGCTCACAGTGAAAGTGCTTGTACTGTTCCTTCCTCCCTCCCTCCCTCCTTCCCTCCCTTGTCTTTTCTCTGTAATAATGACATATGATACTGAAACACAGAGCTGCCCCAGTATATTTTGCGGCCCAGGGCAAAGTACAAGATGGTGGGCTCCCATATTTCATGAACATTGACCAAAAACACAATGCAATTGCCTCTCACTTCTACACTGGTAACAAGGTTGCAATTTCTACCAGATTCGAGGACCACAAGCTAATTTGGAAACTCAGGTCAGGTCAAATGTCACATATAACACTATCCTCCAAAAGAATTACCAAGGAACTCAAAGAGGCATGGACAGGGGCCTGCTTCTGCTGCCCCCAGTATATGGTCTCAGAGGTAGTACCCCCATACTATCAAATGGTAGAGCCAGCCTATGATTATCCTGAAATATACCTTTCACCCTGTTGGGTGCCTCTTTCTATAAACGTTGCTAAGTATATCTGGGCCTGTTTAGTGTCTGGATAATCGTCCTCTGAGGAACCTTGTTGTGCAACCCCATGAATTTCAAGAAAGAAGGGCACAAGAAGATAGATAATCTTTGAAGTGTAGATTGAGAGGTCCATGAGACATCTAGACATCATCAAAAAGGGCAAAGAGGATGCTTTGCAAATTGCATATGCCAGTTTGTATATTCAGATGCAAAATTATAAGCATTTTTTTATAATTTAAACAACATTATCATATCTCACATTAGTAGGGAAAAGTGATTTGCATGCCTGCTGAGTCTGTTGTCCCAGTGCTCACTGGGCATGCGGAAGTTTCAGGGTCCCTGATGTCCCTCCTTTTGAGTATCTTTCTCTTCTTTACCTTTAAATCAGACCGGACTGCCTGTCCCATGGTGGACAAGTCTGATTCAAAGGTGTTTGTCTGGTTGCCCTTCAAAATGGAAAGCTGTACTTTCAAGGATGTCTTCCCACCTTGGAAGTCCATGGGGAAAAGTTTCCACTTCTATTGATAACAGAAGTCCAGTTGATCCAGTTCTTTCAGCACCAGATACATGTCATATCCAAGGGGTTGACACACTTGCTGAATCTCCTTCCTTCCTAGTCTTTGTTCCCCTCTGCCTCTTCTGGCTGCAAGATTTGAGAGGACTGAAGGGGAATCAGTAAACCCTCCCACCACCACCATAAACACATTTGCATTTTTTTCCTCTCCATTGCCTTCACCATAGCTGGCCATCACCATACACAATTTGGACACCCGGGACACTCTACAGAGGGAATTTGCAGATTTCATCAAAGAGCAGGTAAGAACAGAAGGAGGGACAGGGCATAAGTGGATTTATGGGAAGGGGGATAGATTCACTGTGAACAAGACTGTGGGCCAGCTCTGAGTGAAAGAACTAATTACAACATGCATGATACTTGTGGTAGAACAGATTCTAATGAGAGACTTGTGTTCGTTGGAATTCAGGGATCAATCTAGCTTTAGGGGTGGAAGTTCTCAATGTAATTTACTTAGCCTCCCACCATCTCAAACCTTCCAGGTGTTAGACTAGATGGCCTCTTATTCTCACCAGCATGTTAATGGGGACGATGAAAGTTGCAGTCCGGCATACCAAGAAGGCATCAGGTTGAAGAAGACTGTTTTTACTGAAGTTGGCTTAGGAGTAGCAACCATGTTTGGAAGGGGGGTATCTGGCGGGAAGGGGTGGGCTTAAAATGAAAATATAGTATCAAAGGATGGAGTCCGAGTGTGGGATAAGAGATTTCCTAAAATGCATCACAGGCAGATCTCTAGACGGTGAAATGAAATGTTGTAAAGGTCCTGAAGCTTTATTCTCAGAGAGGAAATGCTGGGTGCTTTAGATTCAGGAGAGGTTGTTCTAGATAGAAGGTTCTTAACAGTGTCAGTCAAAAAAAGAATGAACCCCTTTGAAACTTTCCATTGCTTGCTTGCTTCCTTATTTATTGTTGGAAAGAGTTAAAAGGAATTATAATCGGGAGAAAGCACAAGGAGGTTACAAGTGGAGGAAGATTTAAGATGATTAACAATAGAAGGTTCATCTGGAAGCAACCAGAAAAGCTCCAGTCTTAAAAGAGGTCTAGGGAGGTATGGATTGGTAATGTCGGAGGGATTTGAAATATTAGCATTTTATAGCTTTGGAAATAATTATTTAGAATGAGGATAAGAAACTATTATGGTCCATCAGTGGTTTCCAACCTTGGATTCCCAGATGTTATCAGACTAAAAACTCCCACAGCACTAGTTGTGCTGGCCAGGATTTCTAATGATTTGTAGTCAAACAGCATGTGGGGATCAACGGCTGGGAACCATTAATCTAGACTCTAGAGTGCTGGACAGAGTACATGTCTTTCAATCTCTAATCAGCTACAAAGCTACCGTATTTTTCGCTCCATAAGACACACCTTTCCATAAGACGCACCAATTTCTTAGGAGAAGAAAACAGGAAAATATAATCTGTTTTCTTCGCTCCATAAGACGCACAGACTTTCCACCCCCCTGTTTTGTGGGGGGAAAGTGCATCTCATGGTGCAAAAAATACGGTAACTACAGAACCAATTGTTATCTGTCAAGAAAAGTAGGGTGAGGATTATGGAGGAGATTATTGTTTTTTAGGATGAAATTTATTGGTACCTCTTTCTTTTCCCTCTAACCCGATCCTCTAATCTTCTCATCTTTCTGCCCTCATCTCAGGAGCTCCTCTCACGCCCCATGGTTGCAGGCCTGCGAGTGACTCCGAGCTCCATGACAAAGCGCGTCCTAGAAAAGCAGCGGGAGCTGGTCCGACAGTGTGAGATGGCGTTGCAGGGCGATGAACTGGATAGGACCAATGTTACTTCACTACTAGAATCTCACCTGCAGGCTGACACGAAAGATTTCCTAGAGCGCTACAGCCATCGATACAAATCCCACGCCCTCAAAGCTGGGATAGCCATCGGGGTAGGCGCTGTGGGATTAGCCGGAGGGGCCGTTGGAGCTGGTGTTGCAGCGGCCATGTTGGCTGCAGAAGCCATTGTGCTGAGCACTGGTACGGCCGCTACCTTTGCCATTGGGACTATGGCCGGGGCGGGCACCTTTGCACTCGTTGGAGGAGGAGTGGGGGCTGGTTTAGGGAGCAGTATAGGGGAGCGTAGGGCTCGTGAGGCTGAGAATGTGGCTGAACCTGACTGTGAGAATGAAGAAGCAGAGGATGATCTCTCCGATGAGAGGTGTCTTCTTCGCCAGTAGGTCACACCTTAAGAGTTGACAACAGACCAGGGCCTGTGGCCTAGTTTCCTCTGCAGGAAAGATGGTAGGATAACAGTCTAATGCCAGCTTCTGTTATCATGGATCCCAGAGGTGAGGAAACAGAAGAGGAGTGATTCTCTCTGTCTCATGAACCATGAAGGCTTGATCTCCCCATATCTATAGTGGTTGGCTATGGGAGAGCAACACGGGGGCAAACTCAAGCGATACAAATTCCCTGGTGGTGAGTGAAGGCAAAGTAATAAGGCCATCTGATGCTAGGGTGATGTGTTGACCTCTAGTGGAATAAAAAGGGAATAGAATTTATGCCCTGTCTTCCTTTTGGTTTCCTTCTTTCCCAGGGGTAAGTGACTCAAACAGCTAGCCCTTCAAGAGTCTTCCTTCCTTCCTCAGGTGAGAAGTCATTCCCCCCCCCTCCGAACTGCTCCAAGACTGTAAGCAGAGTTGATGGGGAAATAGGGTCCTCCCTCTTTCTGTACCACTAAGCAGTGTTAGGGAAGAAGGTTTATCTTTAGCACCAGTTTGTGGTAGAAACGAAGTTTGTGCCACCCTCTTTGGCTGCGCAGTACATTCTACGATAAGGAACCACGGAGTGGCTCAAAATAGAACATTATGGGATGTACAACAGTTTCAAACTGAAGAGGAGCTTTACAACAGATATTTCTATATTCTGCAAAAAAAGAGGAATAAAGTATATAAGATGTGTCCCCCGCCCCACCCCATAGAGTTGACCAGTACTCTTCTCTCTCTCTGCAGGATGTTTCTGAAGGTCAGTGCCATCCAAACATTACAGTAGTTCATTAGGTTAATTAATTCAGGGTCGTGTTAATGTAGTTTCTCAGGTGTACCATGTGGGGTAAATGAGGGATGCAGTTCCAGATTCACCTGGGCCACAGCAAAGGCTGCTGGGAAATTTCCATTCCCTCGTAGGAACAAAGCCTCTCCTCACATGCTCAGGGAACCCTTTCTTAGCCATTTCAAGTTGTTTGTTCAACATGCCCAGGAGCAGGGTGAAATCTTCCAGGATGCTCCAGCGAATTATTGTCAGGAAAAAAATGTATTAATGTTCTGTACATTATATCAAAGTGCCTTGACTTTTGCGGCTGCTTATTCCTTGTTTCTACCCATCCAACATCTCTTTGGGTCGTCTTTCAGAAAATAGAGTTATTTATTTCAACTCCAGTGTGGTTTTTTTCTTTCTTTCTTTCACCCTGACTTGCAAGCTTAGGGTTCCGAACTTTGACTGTGGTAGGTCTTTTTACCACCAGCCCATCCTGCTCCCAAAGCACAAACCCATTTCATGGGAGGACAGAAAGAATGCTCTCTGGCTGTCAGCCACTGCAGGCCTGTAGCCTCAGGTGACTTGTACACATAATTACCAAAGACAAAACCCAGATGTGGAGAGAGTGTAGTCAAAACAAGCCTCTTGGCAGGACACAAGAGAAGGCTGGAGGATGGGGGGGAGGGAAGAGTGTCCTGCCTGCATTTCCATCTTGTAACTTGGACTTCACAGTCTGGACAGTTCTGTTCAGCCAGATGTTCCCAGCACAAATAAGACCCTTGTTGAAAAAATTGGCAACTGGACAATATCGGAGACAGAGGGGGAAAGTGGGGGTGAGGTTAAGCAGTAAAGAAGTAGTAAATGGTCTTGTGGGGAGGAACACATTCCCTCCCCATTACTCTTACGTTAGTCTTTCAAATGTCCCAGCTTCAGAAAACGGGCGTTTATTTCAGTGCGAAAACTGAAGAGGCACAAAGAAGAGGACTCATAATACTTAATCTTTTGGTAAAGATCATTCCCCGTGTGCCCCATCCTCTGCTCCTTCACAGCTTGAAAATTAAAGTCAGCCAGCTCCAGGGGAAACCTTTGGTCCTGGCTTCAAATATATTGAAAACAGACAGGAACAAAGAGCACCTCTCCACTGTGTGTTTAGACAGATTTATCAGAGGAGTACAACTGTTTTCAATCTATCCAAACCAACTGTGCTGCCTGAGCGATTTGGGGCGTTTTAGTCCAAAGTACGTTTTCTAAGCTCTGGCCCAAAGAGGATCAAGAACTGTAGATTTGAGATGGTATCTTAAAATTTTCTGTTAAAGAGGATGAAGCACAAGGCTTGGGCGTAGCCTCTTAGTGAGCTACCACTAGTAATGGCTGTCCCCTTCCCTCCATGCTGGCCAGGCTCTTGAGGCAATATCTGCCCCTACCCTCCTCCTCAGGGCGAGCTTCTCACTAGCCTCTTTCTCCTCTGGTCAGGTTGCTCTTGTGACATAATAGTAGACAAAACAGGAGTGTTGGATCTTACACTTTGAGGCCACTCAGTTTCCCTTCTCTGCTGCTTCCACTGGCCCTCATGATAGAAAGAAGATGCCTGCAGCTGTAGCTACATAAGCAGCATCAGTGCAATTTTCCCTTCTCTGCTGCTTCCACTGGCCCTTCTTCATGATAGAAAGAAGCCATAGCTACATAAGCAGCATCAGTGCAACCAAGTAAGGAAAGCCAGTTATCCGGGTTCCTAAGGAGGTGAGGCTCGGAGCTGTACCAATGATAGTGCCCACTGGCCTTCTTGAGGTCTCAGATCATTGACAAGAAGTGGAAACCTTTTCCTGTTGATCATGGAGCTTACTTGGGGAATGAGCTATCAGGGGCAGCATGCCACCAGTGGATTAGCTTGTCTTTCACTGTCTTTCCTCCCCCTGGTGGAAATTCAAAGCAATTGTTTACAAGTGTTTAAGTTAGCTTGAGAGTTGCTCCCCTTGATTGTGAGCCATTGTTTGTAGCTACGAATCTGACTACCAGGTTTGGAAACTGTCTTAAGTCAGTAAGAATGTACAGTATTACTGCTGTATCTGTGGGGGATACATTTCAAGACCTACTGCAGATGGAGGAGATCGTAGATACAGTGGTCCCCGCTTGACGATTACCCCGCTTGAAGCTGAAATTGCTTAACGATGCCTTTTTTGCTATCACTGTAGCGATCACAAAACACTGGTTCAGTAGGGTTTTTTGGTTTTACGACGATCAGTTCCCTGCTTCGGGAACCGTTTTTTCGCTGGACAATGATTGAAAACAGCTGATCGGTGGGTCGCAAAATGGCTCCCCATTATTTTCAGGGCCGATTAACAATGATTGAAAACAGCCAAAATGGCCGCCCTATGGAGGATCTTTGCAAAACGAGCAGGTATTTCCTCCATTGGAATGCATTGAACTGGCTTTCAATGCATTCCAATGGGTTTTTTTCGCTTGACGACGATATCACTTAACAGCAATTTTCTTGGAATGGATTATCGTCAAGCGAGGCACCAGTGTAATAGTGAATTCTCTCTATATAGTCTCTGGTTCCCTCTAGTTGTCAGTTCTGGTAATATATCTTGGAAACATATTTCTGGGGTTTGAAATGATCCTGTGGATATAGCAGTCCTACGGAGAATACTGTATGTGTAAGTGAGAGTGTGTCTGGTAGTGGGTTGCAGCTAATTAACAAGACATCAGTTCCATTCCTGATTGTGTGCCCACTCCATGGTAGGCACACAATCAGGAATGCAGCCATTTCCTATGCACCATCATGTTTTCTATAGACTTACACATACATAAATGGCCATTAGAGATGGGCAACTCCAAATGTGGTTGGACTACAGCTCCCATCAGCCCTAACCACAACAGAGCTGGTATTGAGAGATGATGGGAGTTACAGTCTAGCAGCACCACCAGTTGATCATCCCACTGGGAAACTCTTGGCATGTTGCAGGGGGTTGTCTGGGATATTTTGGGGGTTGCATAGACTACCAAAATTGCTTTTTAAAAAAAAAAAAAAAAGAGTCAAATCAGAAGAGGCAGAGGTACACTTTCAGTTTTGGGGGAGGGGATTTCTAGTGTTGAACAGTGCAGGAGAGCCTGTGACCAACTTGAAAAATGTATTGCAGTATGTGTGCTTTTTTTTGTCATCATAGAGGAAAAATATGGCTTGGGATCAGGGATTTCTGGAGATCCTGTGAGCTGCAGAAACAGCCTGGGAGATTGCATAGGCCCCCATTTTGCCCACAGAGCTTATTCTTATTGCATCAACTCCAGATCTACATGTTCTTGACAATATAATAATAATAATAATAATAAAAGGTTTGAAAACCCATCCTATATTATGTGTCTAAAGGTCACTGTTGGTGGGAGAATGGCCACCAACCATATCAGGTCTCAGACACGGCGTATTTTCATCTCGCTTCTCTTGAGGGAATAATAGAATCCCTTCCACTGGTACCAGTTAATGCCATTGGCGTAGGAGAGATGAGCCCCACCAAGGTAGAAGCCATTGAGATTGGAGAAATGACAGCTCTTGAACCACCAAGCACCTGAAGAAAGTGCAGCACAGTTCTGAACATAGAGGTCCTGGTCACGGTCAAAGGTGGAGAACTTTTGGCCACTGTGGTAGGACAACGAGTCACCTGGTGAAAGGGCAAGGAGAAGCAAGGACAGCAATGAGGACTTCAATAGGTTACTCTCATGCCTACTCAGAAGTAGATCTCTTGGCACCTAAGTATTCTAGTTTATAGGCATGACAGCATTACTACAAATGGTCCTCCTTGAGAGTACTGGTTCAGTCTACAGGCTTCCAGAAAGGTGCGGACATGTTAGGATCTCTAAAACAAAGGGGTTTAAAAATACCTATTTGATAAGATCCAAGCTAAAACAGCTGTGTGCAGGGAAAACAAATGGATGTGGACACAACTCTGTAGGATGTGTCTACATACTAATGTGGAGTCAAGCACTATCCCTAAATTTGTGATAATCAGGAAACCCAAATCATATCTAAATACCTGGCATATGGACACATTCAGAACTGAGATGTTAAAGCAAGCCGGTTGCCCTTCGATCTAGGAAGCATTTTGGACTTATTCCACCAAGACTGTTCCAGACTGAGAATGAAAGGAACACTGAAGGCTATTACCAAATCCTGAGCATCAGCCTTCTTTCCCACTTGATCCTCTCCAGTCTTGGACTACAATCACCATCATGTCCGGTAAGCCTGGGCAGAATGGAGGCTGTAGTCAAACACCAGGAGGGCACGAGGTTGAGAAACCTGCTCTAGATTCATATGGGTTTAGTGCTAGATCCCAACCTGAAGATAGACTTATTGTGTCTACAGTCAAGATCTTTCTCTTAGAGCAGTGATTCCCAACCTTGGGCCCCCATATGTTCTTGGACTACAACTCCCAGAAATCCTGCCCAGCACAGCCAGTGGTGAAGACTAATGGGAAATGCAGTCCAAGGACACCTGGGGACTCAAGGTTGGGAACCACTGCCTTAGAGCCAACATGTCAAGAGGAGATCAGCTGAGAAACCATGACAATGGCAGGACCAGGCATCCAGTTTCCTCACCTGCCCCTCCATCAGTGAAACCAGACACATGCAGTGTGTACCCATCCTCTTCGGCACTGATTGCATTTGGCGAGATCGAGAAGTCAGCATACTTGGCGAAAGCTGTGTTGTTCTCGAAGTCCTCCAGATCCACACGCAGCTCATACTTCTGCTTAAGAGTTAGGAGATGGATATTTTGCAATCCTGGAGCACAGGGCAGAGAGGACACATTCATTGGATTACACAGTTCTACAAGGGGGGGGGAATCCATCTTCCATTCTTTGGGGGTAGTAGTGTTTTGTCTGGCCCAGCAACTCTCAGAAGAGAAGTGAGATGGATTTTGGCTGGTCCTCCTGGCTCAGAATCACAATAAACATAATGCTCACACTTGCAACTGGAATGGTCTGGGCCCAGGGACTTGTCTTTAGAGACACCCAAACATTGGGGTGTTCCAGGAAGTTCTGGCAGAGAAAAATGTCTGGGTCAAGAGCACAGGAGGCTGGGGACAATACAAGGAGGCTGGCCAGGGAACTCATTGAAAGGGACAATATCCCTTAGCACAGCATAAATGGCAGGCCGGGAAGAAGGGAGAAGTGGCCAACATTTCCCAGTACACATTTACCTAGCCAGTATTCTCCGTCCGCTCTGCCAAAGCCAAATCTGTAATCATTCCATCCCCGAAAGAAACTGACTGAACCATTAAAACGTTTCTGGAAAACCTGGAGAAGATATATAGATTATAGATAAAACACAGAATTCGTTATGTTGTAACTATGCATCTAATTGCACAATTGCTATGGATGAACAGAATGAACAAAATTAAGAATCCAGTTACATGTTAGGGGAAAAGAACATCCTATTAGATTAGCATGTTTTCCCTCTGGAAATGGGATTTCTGCAGGGATATATCCCTTAGCAATCAGACTTGCAAAGTATGCTTGCGCTTAACTTGAGCAATCGCAAAGCAATGACCTCTAAACTTAAAAAAAAAAAAAAAAGACAGATGAAGAAAATAACATGGACCTAAGTACATGCTATAGATACCATCAGGTTTGACCCTAAGATTCAGAGACCTTCTGGACTCGCAGCTTGATCCTCACAATGGGTTTATGAGATCTTTTTGCTGACAAGGAATTTTCTGTATATTTCCAGATACATTATTCTAAATACCCATGGTTGCCCATGTTTGAAATCTGCACATTTCTGCTCACTGCCTGAAGCATATTTTTGCTCGTTTTTCAAATGTATACATTTTTTCATGAACCTTTTTCTTATGTACACTTTATCAAACCCTTTCGGGGGGGGGGGAGTTATTTCAAGATGGAACATAAGCCCACAAAAAAACCAGATTTTGAATTGCCAATTTGTCTTCATGTCTGTGTTCAAGTCCATGTTGGGAAAATTTCCTAGTAACCATGGATTTGCTCATTCATACACAAAGAAATATAGGAAAAGAATGGACAGGGCAATCGGAATAGAAACATTGGATACAAGAATCACATCAAAATCTTTCTGGAGCAACAGCAGAGGTGTCTGAGTACAGAAACAAATTATCATCCCTACAAGGCTATGTCATTTCCCTGATCCATGTCATTTCCCCTTTCCCTGTACTGGGTAAAGTGAAAGCCATTCTCCCCTGCACCCCACCCTGTGCTCTTATTACCGTCCATTTCCCATCATCAGTGGTCATGTCACAGTACACAGGCACAGGAAGGTTGGAACCTGCAGGGTATATGAGGTACACGCCATCCGTCTCAGAACCTTGGTCGTAAATGTCTTCACAGTCTAGTGGAAGAGGCTCTTCTCCACAGTGTTTCTGCTGCTGAGCTGCCCCAGTAGAGGGGAAATTAAATATTTCACGTTAAAAACTCAATATACTTCTTTAAACAATGTTGAGGTTAAGGATGGCAGACCCCCCCCCATATAGTTCAAAATCCATTGTAAATCTTGTGCCCCCCCCCCAAATTGTAACTGCAAAGCGTAAATAGTTCACACCACACACACACCATTTCCGCCTGTGTCAGCCTCCTGGCATGTCTCAGCACCAGAGTGACCATGCCAGGAGAGGAGACCATCAGGGTCACTGCCATCGGAGCAGAGGCCGCCATACTGCTAGCAACACAGACCTTGGTAAGTTCTGGATCAACTTATCTCAGACTACTTCCTGAAGATGAATAACATAACAGTATTTATTAAACAGAATTAATTCATTGTGATGTTGTTATTGTTGTTGTTGTTGACTAACAGATATAGGTTTTAACCAAAAACCTAAGTATCTCTTAAATGTCAGCACAGTGTGTATGCTGTTCCTAATATTGCTGACTTTTGTAGCTCTGATGGTGTGATTCATGAGATCTGCAACATTGTTGTTGTTGTTGTTGTTGTTGTTGTTGTTAAAAAACACCAGGCACAGTCAATCAAAATCATAAAAGCATTGACTGGTATTATAAAGCAGATAGAAGTTTTAACCAAAAACCTAAGTATCTGTCAAAGTTTTGGTATTCGTATTAGCATTAAACATGAAGTAGGTCTTTTTGTGTGAATCAAAAGTTTCCACTTTTCTCTCACGAGATGGAAGTCAAATCGGTTGATGATGCTCTTGATATTCTGCATGGCTCAGGGAAATAGAATCGTACAGTATTCTTGCTTTGTTCTCCCTACTTTCGAGCAGACCTCAATGCAGAGATTTATAAGATGCAGACCTTTATAGGACCAATTCTCTTGATCAAAAGAGAATCTTCCCCAAAACATATGGGATATCAAGACAATTGAGTGGCTTCAGTTAACACTAGGTGGAAAAACATGAAAAGGAGGACAGGGTGCATGCACTTTTAATAGTTGCGCAATAATTGCACAAAAAAGGATGTTTCAGCAATGATACTTCACCATGGCAGCCACTCCTCTGTGTCAGAAATATTCTTTACCACACAACTATTAAGGGGGTGTGAATTCTATTCTCCTTTTTGTATGCCATCCTTACCCATAAATGTACAAAGGAAGCAAAGATCCAGCCAGACATAGAAACGAATGTTTGATGCTGCACCATAACATCCAAAGCCAAACATCCCAGCAAGCGAAGTCAAGTGGGCCTAAGCATGGCTGATTGGTTCAAAATAGGGAAAGGAGTATGACAAGGCTGTATATTGTCTCCCTGCTTATTTAACTTATGTGCAGAATAAATCATGTGAAAGGCCGGACTGGAGGAATCCCAAACCAGAATTAAGATTAAGAAATATCAACAACCTCAGATATGCAGATGATACCACTCTGAGGGCAGAAAGTGTGGAGGAATTAAAGAACCTCTTAATGAGGGTGAAAGAGGAGAGTGCAAAAGTGGTCTGAACCTCAGCATCCCATGACCATAACAGATGGTGACAGCAGCCACTGTTTCTTGGGAGAAAAGTGATGACAAACCTCGACAGCATGTTAAAAAGCAGAGACATCACCTTGCTGATGAAGGTCTGCATAGTCAAAGCCATGGTTTTTCCAGTAGCGATGTATGGAAGTAAGAGCTGGACCATAAAGAAGGCGGACCACCCAAGAATTGATGTTTTTGAAATGTGGTGCTGGAGGAGACTCTTGAGAGTCTCCTGGACTGCAAAGAGAACAAACATTTCCATTTAGAAGGAAATCAACCCTGAGTGTTCACTGGAAGGACAGATCCTGAAGCTGAAGCGCCAATAATTTGGCCATCTCATGAGAAGAGAAGACTCCCTGGAAAAGACCCCGATGTTGGGAAAGTGTGAAGACAAAAGGGAACGACAGAGGACGAGATGGTTAGACAGTGTCATCGAAGCGACCAACATGAATTTGCCCAAACTCTGGGAGGCAGTGGAAGACAGGAGGGCCTGGTATGCTCTGGTCCATGGGAGTCACGAAGAGTCAGACACGACTTAACAACTAAACAACAACAACAACATCCAAAGCAGTGGCTTCCTCAGCCTGGACAAAAGCCCTCACCAGCCACCTTCAAAAAACAGCAGTCCAACCTTGATTTGGTTTCCTGTCGTAAATCTCTTTTAATGAACAAAACATGTATCTCCTGCCCTGACCCAAGTGACTTCGCCCTCAGGTATCTGTATGGATGGAGAGGGGATCCTAATGTCACTCTCAGCAGCCAGCTTAATTTTAATAAACCACGTTCCCATTAATTCAATGGGCTTATTTTATTTGGGAAGGACAGCTAACCCTAAGCCAACAGCCATCTCAGAGCTCAACCTGGAGATATCACGACTTCATGGTTGGAGTCCTCTTTGCATACACCTGCATGTATGTTCTACCATATCTGCTTCATCCCCAGGGGAAGGGATACTTGTGATAGGGTGCAGCAGAGAATGGATAAAGAAGGCTCTGCGGAAATTCCAAACAGAAGAGTCAACAGCTCTTACCTTGGCTGATGGCTTGTCCTTCCGAGATGCGTAACTGGACAAGGACAAGAAGGAACAGCAAGCATGGTAGGAACAGAGAGCCCTGAGAAAGACAGAAAGAAAAAAATTCCTCTCTTGTCGAACACATATTGGGTGCAATGGAATGTTTATGGAAAGAGGCACCCAACAGGCTGAAAGGTATATTTCAGGATAATATTAGGCTGGCTCTACCATTTGATAGTATGGAACTACTACCTCTGAGACCATATACTGGGGGCAGCAGAGGCAGGCCCCTGTCATGCCTCTTTGAGTTCCTTGGTAATTCTTTTGGAGGATAGAGTTATATGTGACATTTGACCTGACCTGAGTTTCCAAATTAGCTTGTGGTCCTCGAATCTGGTAGAAATTGCAACCTTGTTACCAGTGTAGAAGTGAGAGGCAATTGCATTGTGTTTTTGGTCGCTGTTCATGAAATATGGGAGCCCACCATCTTGTACTTTGCCCTGGGCTGCAAAATATACTGGAAGGAAGGAAGGAAGGAAGGAAGGAAGGAAGGAAGGAAGGAAGGAAGGAAGGAAGATTCTATAGACTGTCCACAGCTAGCATGTCCAGACATTTGCAGACCCTTGTCAATTGTAGATTATTTCAACCTCACACAATATATCTTAGTTTAACATATGAAATCAGACTGACATCCCCACTCTTACAAATCACACAAGCTCCACACAGCTCCATTCAAGAAAAAGTTCTCCTGCATGCTCCTGACTGCACATTATTGCTCTTCTGTAGCTCCCATTTATTTCATTGGGATGTGGAGCTTGATTGCACCATGAAATAAAGGCTGTGACTCAGTGGTGTAATTCAGTAGTTCTCCACTTTTGACCGTCCAGATGTTTATAAAGGCTCCGAATTCCCCTGGCCATTAGCCATAATGGCTTAGGCTTCTGGAAATTGGAAGTCCAAAGCATCTGGAGTCAAAATATACTACACTCAGACAGAAGAACCAAATATTGCACCTTGCAGAAGGCCCTGTGCAGAAATGCCAGGATTCTAGCAGTACACTGTTTTCAATTTTTGTCTCCATTCTTTTCCAATAGAAGTGTGTTAAGGGATTGTCTCCTTTCCCAGTAATGGCTCCAAGTTCCCTTGTACCCTTTTGGCTGCAGAGGAAATGGAGGGAGTGATTTATTATAAATTTGGAGATCCACCTCTGTAATAAACCACTCCCTCCATTTCCTGTTTTCATGATGTGACATTGGATCTGTCAGCAAAACAGAAACATATAAAGGAACCATGGAAACAAATGGAAACATGCAAAGGAAACATACAGTATTGTGGGGGACAAATCTAAATTCCTTTAATAAAAATATTTAAAACATTTATACCTCACGCTACGTCATAAGATCTCAGGGTGGTTTATGGAAACATGCAAAGGAAACATACAGTATTGTGGGGGACAAATCTAAATTCCTTTAATAAAAATATTTAAAACATTTATACCTCACGCTACGTCATAAGATCTCAGGGTGGTTTATAGCAGTGGTCCCCAACATTGGGCCTCCAGATGTTTTGGACTACAACTCCCTGGAAACATGCAAAGGAAACATACAGTATTCTGGGGGACAAATCTAAATTCCTTTTAAAAAATATTTAAAACATTTATACGTCACCCTACATCATAAGATCTCAGGGTGGTTTATAGAACCATATTAAAGAAATAAAAGGAATCAATGAATGAATCATAGAAGTTGGAAGGGGCCTACAAGGCCATCAAGTCCAACCCCCTGCTCAGCACAGGAAAACCATGCAAGCTGTAATAGCCCATAGATAAGGCCTATGATAGGGAGGTAGGAGATATTTAGTAAGATGTATATATGTATATAGATGTTTTTAGTGCTTTGGTGTTTTTAGTGTTTTTGATGTTTTTATATTGTTTTTGTGTCTCCTAATTTTAAAAATGTATCTTACTTTTGCTGGTCAGTGACCGTAATAAACATTTATTATTACAGGAACAACATCAAACCATATCTGCCAGGTGATTATCTAAGTTTTGAATCAATGAATGAATGGACACACATAAAATGGGTTTTGAGAATGTAGGATCTGGTTTTTTTTTAAAGGATCTCAGCAACAATCCCTGAAAACTGAGTATGTTCAATGATTGTGGAATACTGGCTGTTGAAAGGAATTGACAATGGCAAGGTGAGGAGGGAAAATGGAATCCTGAGTAGGGAGGACTTCATACTGCAACATTATGTTGCAGCTCATTATATTAATAACAGACAGTAATAACATTTCAGGGACACATAGCCACAATGACTAATTTTCTCTGTGAAAAACCTTGATAATCTTTAGAGAAAATACAGAGTTCTCAGGAAGATAAAAAAGCTCACTTTAGCTGGAAATGTCTGTTTCTTCCTTTGTTTCACTGGGCTTAAAAATTTAAATTTGGCCTGTAGCCTGATATTCAGAAAGAAAGCACTAGAATTTTTTAAAAAAACTATCAGCTATGCCAATAATGTCTGAGAAAACAACTCACTTTCCTTTCAGGCTGAAACTTTAAAAGGATGTGTTACAGCCTTTTTGAAAGGTTCCAAACACGTTGTGTTGATAAGCGTTAAAGAACTCTATATTTTTCTATGGTTTATTTTGATATTTTTATGAACAGCTTTGAATTCCTGCTTCTGAAAAGAGATACAGAGAGAAACCTCTGTTCATGGTGGTGCCTTATAGACTTACTGCCACATTACAGAGGGGATATCCCCAGCTTCTGGGACAAGCTGCCTATTCTGCACACTGACTCCTTTACCTGCCTGTTTCCCCCACTGCATGCTGAGCATTTGCTACCTGAAGCAGCCACTTCTTTCTGCCTAATAATAGGGCCGGTGTTGGTTACGCATATGAGCTTTCCCACTGCAATCTACCACATCAGGATTTTGGATCAGGCAGACATCCTCTATCTATAGGTTTTATCTGGGCAACATAACATATGCACTTTTAGCTAATCCACTTCTAAAAATACATTTTACTGTACAGCACTAGGGTCGGAGGCTTTTATAATAATAATAACCTTTGAACTATAGAGCTGGAAGGGACCGTATGGATTGTCAAGTCCAGCCCCTCTCAACAAGGCACAACGGGGAAGTGAACATCTAAGCCTGTGAGCCTTCCAGCAGTTTTCTCTGGAGGCAGAAGGCAGTTAATAAGTTGTAATAATAATTACATGCTGTCAGATCAAATTTGTATTCATGGTGATCCTCTGAAGGTTTTCTAGTAACCAGAAGTGGTTTCCGAGTCTCTTCTAAGGCCACACAGATGGCAGGGCAAATAGCCTTTCACTCTTCAGTTAGGATTCTAACCCACTAAGCTATATCAACTTGATTAACAAATACTTCTGTAAAATAAGAATAAATAATAACTATAGAATTACAAGTAAGGTTGGCCATTCACATCCCCCATACCCACCCCTGCAAAAGGGACTGAGTATTCTGCTCCATTTCCTCACTTTCATTCTTATTTCTCACAAGGCATGTCTCTCTCATTAACTTCTCTTGTTTATTCTCTTTCTCCCCTCATTATCTCCTCTTACCTCTATCGAAATTGAGTGCAACTTGCTGATAAGAAACATACACACCCAGTTCTTAGTCTGTTACATAGGCGCAATATTGCACAAAACGTCTTCATCCCTATCTCACTTACCTTGAAATAGGGTTTTCAAGGTAAGTGAGGTAATTAAGAAGTGGTTTTACCGGTTCCACCCTCACCCCTGCGAGTTTCCATAGCAGAGCCAGGGAATCAAACCCAGGTCTCCTGAGTCCTAGTCCATTATTCTATCCCCTACATACATCTAAAACAAGAAAGACAGATATAGGTGGGAGCTGTCAGACTCAGAAAGGGCTCAGAATTTCACAGCTTGGGGACCAAGCACCATTTCCAATTTCCTCGGCTGGTGCCACCTTCCTGATGTGTTGGACTACAGATCACATCATCCCAGGTCAAAAAGATGTTTGACTGGGGGTGAAGAAAGGTAGAGCCCAAAACATCTGGATGGTGCAACAGGTTGGCGATGGATGCAGTATGTGACCTTGATGAGAAGAATTCACATTCTCGCAGCTGAGAGAACACTTGTGTAGGAGATAAACATATGCCTGGATTTAGGACATAAGAACAGCCCTGATTGATTCAACCAAGACTCCATCCAATCCAGGGTCCTGTTTCTTTCAATGGCCAGAAAGAAAAATCCAGGGAGCTCAAGCAAGAGAAGATGGCAACATCCCCAGCAACGGATTTTCACCCTGTAGGGCGTGGATGTGCTCCCAGATCTGTGGTCTTTACTGAACCACTGGTTCAATAAGACCTATACATCTCTCCTTTTAAGCAAAGCCAAGCAAAATTATTTAATAAAGTTTATATTTAAGAATAAAACTTTGGAGCTGTGCATTCCATTGTTGCTGTTGCCCCCAGGTCTTGTAACTACGCCTTCCATAAATTAAAACCTGTGTTACATTTAGATGGGTCACTGTGAGAAGCCAGGACTATTAAAGAATGGAGAAAAGTGACAGTACAAACCATACGGAGATGTTAGAAATCTCAGCAGCAAGAATCGGATCCCGTTCCCCCCTGTCACCAGATCATTACCCACCCCCCAATAAAGCACAATCCCCTCCTCTCAGTTTATCACATTACCTTCATGCTGTATTCGTGCTCCTCCTTTGCAAGTGTTATTCGCCTAATTTATGGCTGTGTGGACGGTTCTGCTGCAGCTCTTTCTCCCACCCCACTGTCCCTCTCTCACGCTAGGTCTGGCATACAGCTGTACAGGTTGTCTCTTGAGCCTTCCCACCTCCACTGTCTGCCCACCAAGACCAGGCAGGGCTTGTAAATCCTGGACTGATAGCCAGGAGTGAAGCAGCCATAGAGAGGGAAGGAGGGGGTAACAACTGGGAGGGAGGGAGGGAGGAATGTGCCTAGAAGAGGGAGGCAGGAAATGAAAGTTGAGGGAGTGGGGAGGGAAACTCTGGAAAGTGCCAAGTGCTTCAAGGTTTTCCAGAGCTCTTGGCCATGAACATGTTATTGTACACTCTTTGCATGAATGTGCAAGAATTTATGTCTCTCTCTCTTTCTTTCTTTCTCTCCTCCCAATTTCACACTTCGGATGAGGTCATAGGCTCCAGTCTGTGGAGGCCAGAACAGGGGTTTCAAAGAGGTGTCTATAGAAGCCAGGTTTTCTGGGTTTGGTGATGGGAAGTCTAGTGGTTAGAGTGGACAGCCTGGGACGCAGGAGACCTGGACCTCTACAAAATAACAGAAATATGGTTGATGAAAGAAGGAGGCAGAACCTCTGGGTTTTCTTGAATAATAGTATAGTCCAACAACTGGTATAAGAAACCTACCACACAAGATTCATGGATAGCTTTTACTTGTTTTTTTTTTCATTTGATTTCTGCCATGATGTTCTCCCAATAAAGAAACTGAAGACGCCTTGCAAATATGCAAAAGAAAATGCAGCTCAGGATCTTATTGCCTAAATGCAGGGTGGAAAAAACAGCCACGTTGGTGTGTGCTAATCAAAAAAATAAAAAGCTCCCAGTTGTGTGTCTGATGTGAAATCAAATGAGTAGCAGCTTATGAAACGGGAAACCTGCTGGCATGGGAAAGGAGAAGACTTACGTATTTGGCCTACTGCTCTACTTTTACAAAACAGGATATGGACCAATATTTTTAAAAAGCCAACTAAATATATTATCCTTATAAAATAAACACGCACTGAGAATTTAAAACTATCATGTGCAAGCTTTGGGCCAAAGGAAGAAAATAACCACCTGGGCTAGGCATTAAAATGTTCACATTCTTTGAACTGATGTGTGACCTAGTAGTAACCAGGGATAGAAACAAATAAGGTAAAGGTAAAGGTTCCCCTTGACAAGGTCCAGTCGTGTCTGACTCTAGGGGGCGGTGTTCATCCCCATTTCCAAGCTGTAGAGCCAGCGTTTGTCCGTAGACAGTTTCCGTGGTCACGTGGCTAGCGCGACTAGACACAACGTGTTACTTTCCCACCATGGCGGTCCCTGTTTATCTACTTGTATTTACATGCTTTTGAACGGCTAGGTTGGCGGGAGCTGGGACAAGGGACGGGAGCTACAGTTTCCGTGGTCATGTGGCTAGCACGACTAGACACAGAACGTGTTACCTTCCCACCATGGTGGTCCCTGTTTATCTACTTGTATTTACATGCTTTTGAACGGCTAGGTTGGCGGGAGCTGGGACAAGCGACGGGAGCTCACTCCATCGTGTGGATTCGAACTGCTGGTCTTTAACCTTGCAGCCCAGAGGCTTTTTGCAGTTTAACCCATAGCACCACCATGTCTCTACAAATACTCTCCCTCCCCCCCAAAAAAAATATGTCTGAGCACCTCAATTAATGTATGAACTGATGTCAGGTTTTTCACTCCTGCGTGACAGCAAAAGGACCAGGTTTTAAAAAAACACACAAAGTGGCAGGGTTATGTGAAAAATTGTATTTTGCATTTTGTGTAAAACCCCTTGCATTTTGCACCAAAGAACTGCTTCCATGATTTTGTGTGAGTGTGTCTGTGTGCAAAGGTCCTGAAATACAAAACCAAAACAGAAAAAAAGGCAAAACAAAAGAACAACTTTCTTGCAATAACAATCAGAGGAAGAAACCTGCTGACAATCATCATTTTATTCAGAAAGAACAAAATGAGCAAAAATATACTTTCCTGGCTAAACAGAGTGAGGTCTGGTTAGTGACTTGATGGGAGGCCACAGGAAAATACCAATGATCTACAGGTTCAGCTAAGAATAAACCCTACCAGAAATCCTAGTGCCACTCACAGTTGACAACACTGGGCAAGATGTATCAATAATCTAGGTCTGACTCCATATGAGGCCATTTCTTACATTTCTATATTATGGGGTCCTATGTTATTCGTTGAACATGGGACCTTCTTTCTGCAACACAACTGCTCTTTCATTTCCCAAGTAATAATAATAATAATAATAAAAAGCCAGGAGATGCCATGGATTGAACCTTATTCTCCTTAATTAACATATTCACAATGACGCTGAGATCTCAAGGCAGCGGACAGTCACATCCACACTCTGAACCACTATCCAGAGATGGGTCAAGAAAGTGGAAATTCAAGCTGCTCGGCCTTCTAGGCTTGTCCATAGAGAGTGCAGATTGTCCAATAATAATAATAAAAAGCCAGGAGATGCCATGGATTGAACCTTATTCTCCTTAATTAACATATTCACAATGACGCTGAGATCTCAAGGCAGCGGACAGTCACATCCACACTCTGAACCACTATCCAGAGATGGGTCAAGAAAGTGGAAATTCAAGCTGCTCGGCCTTCTAGGCTTGTCCATAGAGAGTGCAGATTGTCCCTCTGCTTTCATTTTGTGGTCAATTTTCATCAGCATCCAAGTTCGCCCAGGACTGGATCCCAGCCAGCATGCACCCTATTTTCCAGGGCTTTCCCAGAATTCTCCTGTCCATTTGAGTGGATGTATGTGTTAGAGCCAGATGGATGTATTTGCTGGTTGTTTCCACCATCTTTCCCATTAAGAATTCCCGTTGTCAGCCACTTCACCTGAGACTACAATGATGATGAGTCTCACACCCTTACACTGTTTTCCATTCAGCCTGAACTTGAACGGGGGGGGGCATACATAGGAAGAGAAGGCAGTAGCTTTCTTTGGGTTCCTGGAAAACCAGACATCTCCTCTTGGTAAGAAATTCCTGCAATCCTTTCTGAACTGCTTAAACACATTATTTATAATTAGCATTCAGAAAGTGTTCCCTTTCAAATCTCAGCCAGAGCTGAGAAGACAGTCCAGATAGAGGTTCCTTGCCTTTGGACGTCTGCACATTTTCCATCTGTATATGACATTTATTTACTTTAAATGTTCTCATGCCACCTTTCCTGTGTACTTGTGCGGGCTTGCAGGATACATGAGAATCACTGAACTAACATGAGTTGGCTGCATTTCCTGCTGATGTTACCCACTTTGGTAATTAATATTCCCGTGCAGCTTAATCCTTTCCAGATGTCCTGCTTTGGTTAGAAGAGGGAGCATAAAAATGTGGATCACTCTTCCTTTAATATAATCAATAACAGTCATGTGCGATCAAATCAATTCTGACTTGTGACCCTTTTCAGTATTTCCCAGGTAAAGAATACTCAGATGTGGTTTACCATTCTGTTCTTCTGGGGGCATCCTGGGTCTGTGCAGCTTGCCCATGGCCACACAGCCTAGTTCTACTCACAGACGTCCATAAAAATGTGGATCACTCTTCCTTTAATATAATCAATACAATCATGTGCGAATCAAATCAATTCTGACTTGTGACCCTTTTCAGTATTTCCCAGGTAAAGAATACTCAGATGTGGTTTACCATTCTGTTCTTCTGGGGGCATCCTGGGTCTGTGCAGCTTGCCCATGGCCACACAGCCTAGTTCTACTCACAAAAGTTGAACTCCCAACTTTTGGCCCTGCTGCCAGATACCTAATGAGTTATTCAACCAGCTTTGCCTTTAGTATAGCCCAAAGGCAATTCAAGCCACTTGGAGCCGTATGTGCCAGTAAGTTTTCTGAGGCACCAACACCAATATAAGCAGTTGTCCCCCTAATAGTAACAATGCAATAATAAGACCTTATATAGTCAATATTTTTTCTGCAATCAGTGGCTTCAGGAAGCTGCTGCATTCTAGCAAATGGTAGGGCCAGCCCTGCAAGTCAGAGGTGGAGAAAATGTCTTTTCTTGCAGAAGACCACTGCTAGAATCCTGTGACCAGCATAGCCACAGAAGATGCTGGTGGTCAAGAAGAGTCACTTTCCTATCTCTATGGCAAATGTTCTAATAGTGTAACTGGATGCTCTCTTTCCTTTCTACAATGTATTCCTCAGCCCGATCCAGAAATCTAGGCTTTTGATCTATGTTTTCCAGAAGATGAGCATAGGGTCACCTTGAAACTTTCAACATACTGTTCCCATGCAAAGGATCTCTTGATTGTTCCATCTTCCCATCCCATCCAGTTGCACTATTACAACACTCTGATAGCTTGTTTCATCCTGCCGAATGGAGGCTTACCAAATTTTTAACCAGCCTGTGCTATCTTGTATTTCAATTGTATTTCACCGCAGCAATTAGCAAATGAATTGTTCCATGTCATAGTAATCATTATTGCCAGCTTTTCTACTGCTGTGGATCACTCTGTTTTTAAAAGCCCCAGCTTTCAGGAGTCAGGACTCAGGACAGATAGAAACGTTGGCATTTTTAGCTGTTGTGTTCATTTTATCATTAGGACTTATGAACAACGTTGTGGTCATCAACTGACTGTAAAGTTGGTTGACTTACCAAGTGGAAGGAAAGCAAATGAGTGCAGCCCAAATTATTTTTTCACCCACTGATTTTTCAGGAAAGATATGAAAACATAAGGAGACCTCATTTCAATGAGGACAAGAAGGCAAGTACAGTGGTGCCTCACTTAACGATTACCTCATTAAACGATGAAACCGCTTTATGATGAAGTTTTTGCGATCGCTATTATGATTGTGAAACGATGTTCCTATGGGGGGAAATCGCTTAACAATGATCGGTTCCCTGCTTCGTGAACTGATTTTTCACTAGACGACGATTTCAAAACAGCTCTAAAATGCCTGTCCACTGTGCAAAATGGCTCCCCGCTGTGCTTTAGGATGGATTCCTTGCTTTACAGGCACCGGAAAATGGTCACCCTATAGAGGATCTTTGCAAAACGAGCAGGTATTTCACCCATTGGAACGCATTGAACCAGTTTTCAATGCATTTCAGTGGGTTTTTTAATTTCGCTTGACAAGGATTTCATTTAACAGTGATTTGAACAGAACGAATTATCCTCATCAAGCGAGGCACCACTGTACTGCCACCAACTTCATGTCTCCATCAATTCCCTCCCTTC